CCGAAATTTTAGAGCAAGGGATACCCTTCATATTGAATTAAAGGATAAGTGCTTCAGTTAAAGCATCAACATTCAGCCTTGATTTCTCATTAGTTCAAAAACCATTACCAATTGAAAAACCTCTTTCAACCGCTGCATTTGTTCCAGAGCAGTGCAATATAAATACAACAAGAATAACTAAATTTTCATATGGAAAAAATAAATGAATAATTTTTGAAATGGAGATACATTTCCACCCATTTTGCATCCATTTAAACATGGGGATTTCCCATTGTTCTAATTTATCAGTAATTAAATATGCTATATCAATCCTTCTAATTTCTTCAAAGAGACGTCATCGATTTTAATATCTGTGTTGAGTTTTTATTGATAGATAAAAATCAACACAGGTTTCTAGGAGGTGTTAACTGTACCGGCACATGACGCATAATAGTTTGGCCTGCAATCTCTGAATGCAGAGATTAACAGATTAGTTATAAAAAATTGAAAAAAGGACAAGTCGAAGGACACTTTTAGAAGAAGGACTGAACTTATAAAAGGACCGGACTGTCCTCCTGAAAGGTGGACGATTTACCACCTTGTACAATTGTACTTTTTAATCAATATGACCCATAAAAATAAAATATGAAAGAAAAATCCAGAAAATTACTGTATTTTCCATGAATTTTTTAAAAAATATACGATTTTCTAACTTAAGTAATTATGTTATATATATACAAAATAATTGTAAACCTGAGATAACTAGTCGAAATAGTAAAAAGTATATACAGTAGTACTCTAACAAACTCCTGGCCTTAGGAACCATGATTGCAGGTTTAAACAAAGTTTTGCGGACAGCCAAACTTCACCTGTATTTGCCAATACTCTGTGCTGAAGTAGAAGTAAGGAATATCACAAGAGAAATTTAACTATTATAAATAAAAACGCAATCTATTTATTTAAAACGATGATATTATAACCAACTATTAATACCAAGTATATGCTAAAATCGATGCAAAAAACCTAGATGATAAACTTACTACGCATGTACAGCAACCTACCGTGTTTCCCGCGCAATATAGAAAGTATAACAATACCACATAATAATAGTAAAATATGATAAAATAACGTTAAGTTTATATATATACATTTAAACAAAATTGCTATATTATTACATATTGTCATTTCACTGAGAACTATTAGAAATATAATTGTATATAAAATTAGCAGGATATCCATGTTCAATACATTGGTTAATAAAGTTATTAAAATTTAAAAATAAATTAGATTTATTGCTAACTATAATACATTATTAGGATAAATATAGTTAAAAATAATATATCTATATATAGAAATGGAGAAATTCGAATTCCAACATAGCACTTTAATAATGTTAAAATTAAAATCCTCTCTTTTATCATAAATATTACTATGTAATTTATAATCCTTAATAAACAATGATACATCGAAGTAATTAGTTTTAACTAGATTATTATTAATCGTAACTAGGTTTAAGTAATCAGGATAATATAAAATACTGGGATTAAAATTGTTTTTACAAAATATAATTAGACCACCTATATATCTAAAAATGTAATAATATATTTATATTCATAAAAGTGTAAATAAAAATTAGCCAAACTATTGCTAGCAGGGCCACCTTGAGGCAAACCTTTAGTTTGCTTTTGTATACAATGTGCCATTAAAATTAATATAATTTTCTTTTAAGACTTAATCTGTGAGAGTTATAATTACTATGTTTATATAAAATCATTGATATCCATGGAATTAAAAAAGATCTTCAAAATCATAACTATGAACTGAATAAATATTTTTTAAAAATATATAATATTTTTACTATTTTTAATTATAGCTTTAGCTCTTTTCTAGAGCAGTTTATATATATATATATAAGAGAGAACTACTCTTCCGTCAGTGCTATGATTCCGCGGTTATAGCTTCATCACGGACACACACACAAGCAAACAAAATTGATTCTTAATAAAATACCAAAAAAGGAGCGGAAGAAACAAATTAAGATGTTTTGTTCGGAATTCCGGTGGCATTTATATTCGCGTATTGATTGACAACACAGATCCCGTTTCCCTTTTTCATGGCCACTAAAACACGATCGTAAATCTTGACCCGTTTCTGTTGGGAAGAACTGAGATTTCGGAGTTCTTTTATGGGTGCTCTAAACGGATATTTAAACAACTTTTTCGTGAATCTGTTTGGCAAGTCATATCATTCAGAACTAATTGTGTCTTTAGAGTAATTGATGTATTCCAAAACGTAATGAACCGGATTAATTAATTAGGTTCAAAAAGGTAGTCAAGCTCAAAGGATTGTTATCCATAACCTATTTTATTTATTTTATTTATGAGATTCGCCTTAAATTGCAATGCTATTGCAGCTCTTAAGTTCTTATAAAGTAAAATATAAACTGAAATGTTTATCTTCCTTTTATTGAAATAAATTATTTTTCTCACAACAGGTGGCGCATCCTCTTAGTGGTAAAAAAGTTTAATATAACAGGATAAGAGTCTTAAGGTCTTAGATAGCTTTCTAACTAAAAAAAAAGTTAATACTAATTCACATTTTACTAACTAAATAAACAGTGCTAGTTATTTATAAAATCGATAAAAATTTAAAGTTATATCTTTGTACTTTATTAATGTCATTTTATCAAATGCAATTATGAAACAGCGTCCCTTTCCTTTACTCATTGGTTATCTTTATAGCTTCTGAAAACATGAAAAAATATCGCGCATGCATGACAGGATTGCCAACATTTGTACTTTAAGCAACATCTGTCTAATTTAAATTATTTATGCGAGAAAAATTATGATTGGATCTTTCTTGATTGGTTTGTTTTTAACACAACACTAAGAAGCAAAACGAGGTATACGCCCTCCCCAGACTTCCATATTACGTACGCAACGTGAAAACTTTGAGCCCCTTCTAAGAGCCAGGTCTTTTGTTATACCATAATTTGAATCTACACAAATCGACAAAAATAATGCTGATCTTGAGTCAGTGACTATGACTACGCGGCTACCGTGGTCACTGAATCTTTCCTGAACTCGTTTCTGAAAGTAAAAATTTGATAAATTTAAATTGTGTTTATTGTTATTGTCTGAATATTGCTACTACGTAATTAGTGCATATGGGCAAAATTTTATATTCGAGTCAGAAAGGTTTCTTTTTTAACTAAGCTTACATTTAAAAAATATATTGGACTAAACGTCACTATTTATCTTCATTCCAATTTCAATTTGTCAGTAATCTCGCATCACTTTTGCAGAAGTTTCTACAACACAAATCATTTCGACTCGCGCAATCACATCCTCGTGTAATTCGCACGTCTTTTTACTAACTGCAACTGCGGAATTAACACGCACCACGTGTGAGCATTAAGCTTTCCCATTGATTTGATTTGAGAGAGTGCAATTAGGCTTATTGCGAAATGCTATTTAAGATAGGACACGAGCAGTTATAGAGGCGTTACTACGACTAGTTGGTTTCCAAGCGTTCATTCGTCCTCTTTTACGCTTATAAGGATTTGTAGGTGTTGATGAGAGAACCGGAAGATTCTTCCCATCATTGTAGTATGTTGTGTTTTTTCGAAGCTAAATAAAGGGACGTTCTTGTTATATGGTTGATAAAAAATATTGGTTGTTTTTTGTGTAACGTTTTATCGTGAAGTACTCCAGAAAATAGGAAATTATCCATGTTTTTTTCGTGATTTTTTAAATAAACATATGGTAGAGAAATTTTTTTCTTGAGATGATGGGTTTGCTTAAGATGAGTAATGTATAATTGATAAAAAAAAAGGTAGTCTGCGTATGAATATGAAAATATAAAGTTTTGATTTCGTAATCATGCGTGTTTCAAATTACATTTATTAAATATTTTTGTAACGTTTTACGCCTTAATTATATCGTCGATGTACGCATTATGTCGACTAATTTCGTGTAATGAAAATACGCCGCCGAATGCCACTATATACAGCTGACAACGGAAACAGTTCCCGTGCATGTTGGAGTGAGTGAATATTAACGTCGCACTGTTCAGCTACACGAGCGCTTTTGGCGACGGAACACGTCATTTTGAACCATGGCCAAGTGACGCGGACGACACCTGAGCTGTCACCCCCTCTCCTAACTATCACACCCCACCAACGGGAGGACGTTTGAGCTCTAGACATATTTTACGTGCATTGCTCCCCTACACGGCGGGTTTTCAGTGGTACTAGGATCGAACCCATGACATGCTAACCATGATCCGATACCTTGACCACTTGGCTACCGCAGCCACCCGTGCATGTTGGAACACAGCACATTTTATGAAATGGCAATGTCTTTTCTTTTTGCGAACTTGGTCGAAAGTATGATACGCAAGTACCCATATTTTCTATTGAGATTTTCAAAACACGATTTAAGTATAATCCAGTTCATTTCAATGTTCCGTTTAGACTGCCAGATGTTGCTTGTGATGTACCTAATTTATCAACTTCAAAGCAATATTTTATTCACAAAATTTCTTGTATGGGAATTTTTTAATCAAATAAGAGCCTTAGAGAAAAGTTTTAATTTTGTGTAAGAATTTCTGTTTAAAAATATTAATTAAGTTCACTAGTGGTGGAAGCAGAGATTAAGTGGTGATACAATTTTAAAAAACACAAAAAATTACTACTTTTTGTTCTATAGATATAGATGTTTAAAGCATATTTCCTATCTTTTGAAGCACACAAGTAATGCAAAAAAATAAATAAAGTTAATTCCTACTTAGATCAACAAAGAAATTTTTATTTTAGATACTTTTTTTATCAAATAATTACAATATAAATATGTATATACATATGCTAGTATCATAATATTAAGTGGAAAAATAGCAAACAATTTTCCATTGTTGTTCTGTTGGACTATTAATTTTGATTGTTACTATTTATTCATTGAATAAATTTATATATTCCAATAAAATAGTATTGTAAAAAGTAATCACATTTTCAGAAATTAGACCATTCTAGGTGGGGTTCGAACCCACGATCTTTGTATTAGAAGTCCAATGCACTCTCCATTATGCTTCAGGAAAACAACGAGCGATTTTCCTTTTTACGTATGAAGTTGGATTATTTTTGTTTACTATTCATTCATTTTTGAATTTAATTAATGAACTAATATTTGAAAAAACTGCATTAAAGTCAAGGGCCATCCACTACAAGTTTTAAAAAAATGTATTTGAACCTTAGTGGATGAATAAAAAGCATTTTATTAAAAATTGAAAATTTGAACTAAATTATATATATATATAGGGGGTCCCGAATTCATGGTACAAACTTTAAGGATAGATACAGAACATTGTAGCAATCATTTGATTTGCGGTAATGTATGGGCGCAAGTGACGTGGTGATGCGCGAACAGGCGAAATAAAAGAGAAATTAAGTTATCGGCTGGTTGCGTTGCCGGTTGGGGCAGTAGATGTCTAGTTGTCGTTCAAGATGAATAATTTCAGTAGGAAAATGCGCCATGGCAGTTGTGCTGACGTCTACCATGGGAGACTTTACATATGCCGAACATGCAGACACGCATGCCATGAACGGCCGTGTAAATGGTAACGACTGACGAAACTGCGCTACGAATGTATCACACGCAATTTCCTGATAGTCGAATGCTGGATCACAGATTTTTTCAGCGGTTGCATCGTCAAATTCACGAAACACGTTCTTTCCACGTCCCCAGACATGATGCTGGTCGACTAAGAGCGTCATATCTGGCACGGAGTCCAAGCCTGAAGCAAGTATCTTGAACGCTGTGAGTGATAGTGAAATACAAGAGCTGTTGCTCATCACGTAAGTTCATCAGACCGTTTTTAGAGTATTAAAAGAAAATCACTTGCGCCTCTTCCATTTTTAGCGAGTTCATGCTTTGATTATGGCAGACTATCTTCTCCGATTGCCAGTGGGTGGTACAGCAATGTGTGCTGCAACTGGACTTCATTGCTCATGTGCTGAACAGTTATTATAAACATTACACTTGTCAACGACGCTCTCAATTAACACTTTGTCTTTCCTTTCGTCTTTTATTTTTTTGTGTTTGGGCCTCACCGTGTCACTTGCACACATACATTCCTTCAGAATAAATTATTGTTTCAATGTTCTGTACCTACTTTTCAAGCTTGCACCATGAATTTTGGACACCACCCTGTATATATATATAAATTTTATATATATATATATTTAGGGTTAGCAAGAAATAAGTTGCCCATTTCAGAAGGCTTTAGAATCCGTCCTATTGGTCCAAATGACATAGAATTTGAACAACAGGTAATTCAAATGATGAGCTTGAGATTTATTAAATAAAAATTAGTACAAATTTTCACCAGTAGGTGGTGCTGTAATACAGATAACCTTATTTAATATGTTGTAAAAATATGTGTCAAAAATATAAAGTAACATTAATAAAACTGCTCAATATGATACCCTTCATGTTCAACAATATACTGTAATCGCAGAATCATATTTTCAACACCTGACCGCAGTAAATCTGGTGGAATATCTAAGACATGGCACCGAATGCTGTCTTTCAGATCTGGTAGAGTTGATGGCCTTTTACGGTAGGTATTGTCCTTTAGAATAACCCCACAACCAAAAGTGGCAGGGGTCATATCCGGGAAACGAGGAGGCCATGTTGTTGAGAAATGACGGCTGATCACCCGTGCATCTGTGAAATGCTGTTTTAGCAAATCATTTACATGGCGATCGATGTTACTTAAAATTTTTGTTTAATTAATGTTACTTTATATTTTTGACGCATATTTTAAAAACATAATAAAAAAAGGCTCTGTGTATTGCAGCCCCACCTACCGGTGAACATTTGTACCAATTTTTTTTTCATTTAATAAATGCTAAGTGCATAACTTGAATTATCTGTAGATAAAATTTTAATTTATTTGGTCCAATAGGATGGATTCTAGATCCCTCTGAAGTAAGCAGTTTATTTCTTGCCAACCCTGTATATATATATAAGGAGAGTGTGAACTAATAATAGGATTTGAAAAAAAAAGGATGTTTCTTAAAGATAAAACTTTTCTGGAATTGCCAGTATTATTAATAGGATGTTTTTAACATACATCTTTTCTGATTTATTTTTAGAAGGTTGATTTATGCTTTATTATTATCCAGTAATTGTTTAAATTTCTCATTCACTTTCCATTAAAAATATATTTTTTATTTTTCAAACTCAAATGAAAGATGCACGCACATGGTTTGAAAATTAATAGTCTTTATAAAATAACTATAAATGTTTCATATATATATATTTAATTCAAAACAGAACAAATAAGCTTTCAAAAGATTTTCTGTACGTAATTTATTTAATGCAGCATTTCCCCATCTTTTTAATGATGCTAATTACTAAGTTGCTTTTAAAAAAAGCTGTTTTAGTTGTCCTTTTAAAATATTTACATTGAATATAAAAGTACGTTGAGTATTTTTCTTGCATTCCTAAAAATCAGGTATCGTCTATTTCATAGCAGAATAACATGAACCGACTTATTATTAAAGAATAAAACAATTCTAACGATTTTTTGGAGTTTTTAGAACAACAACAACAACAAAAAATATTGTAAGAGTTTTGCATTCCCTATTGTTTGTTACACTTGAAGGAAAAAAACAACTTTTTGGAAACTACAAGAGTCTGTACTTTAAACTTCAAAGTGTCAATTTCAGGTTTCACAGTCTAAGTTCGAAAAGTATAAGTTAGACTACGAGAAAATACATTCAAAGTACTTCAGGAATGTCGTAGTAGTATTTTTAGACTTTTAAGAAAATAAAAATTTGACTATTTGGAAGTGCAAAGAAAACACAAAGAATAAAAGTTATTGAAAAGTTAAATAAAAAAAGCTCTAAAATTGTTTTGTTGAGTTAAAAAAATTTTAATGGGTAAATAATTCTGAATAAAAACTAAATAATTATAACATAAAAAGGAAATAAAAAAAAATTAATTGAAAATCAAGTAAATAATTTTTTAACGGAGCGTGAGTGAGTGAATATTAGCATCCCACTGTTCAGCTACTCGAGGGCTTTTGGGGACGGTCCGCGTAATTTTGAACCATGGTCAAGTGACGCGGACGACACCTGAGCTGGCACCCCTCTTCTAACTACCACACCACACCAACGGGAGGACGTTTGAGCTCTCGACAGATTTAACGTGCATTGCTCCCCTACACGGTGGGTCTTTAGTGGTACTGGGATGGAACTCATGACATGCTAGCCACGATCCGATGCCTAGACCACTTGGCTACCGTGGCCACTTTTTAACGGAGCATATTAACGAAATAAATTTGAATAAGTTTGGGGGCCTAACCTGCCCACCTAACACCAGATCAACCTCTACTGAACAAATTATAAAACTATTCATTCTCATTGCTCAAATTGAAAAGATGTTTTTTCAAGTACTGTGTAGTTCTAAAACTGTAATGCTCGCATGCATTATTCCTTAAATTATAATGGCGTTTCAGTGGAAATTTGGCGAAATAATAGCAATACAGATGTTAGCAATATTTTGGGTCAGTAAACTTGGCAATTTGGCGATACTTCTGAGGATCACTACCGGAAATTACTGAAGAAATCTTTTACATCACGATCTATGACGTAAGCTGATATTATGAGAAAGCTCTGGAAGGCACGGGGAGGGGGGGGGGTGTTGACCACAGGCAAATCGTTTTTGGTCCTCTTCAGTTGAATTCAAATTTTTATGGCCCATATTTATAAACTATACCTTATGTATAAATAAATTTATTACAGCATCCCAAAAAACTTTATTTTTTTACATATAGAGAGAGAGAAAATTACTTAAAATATCTATGTTGATTCAAATTCTAAAAATCGTTCATTGAAGGTTCTAAGTATTAGAACTCTGATTTTTTTATATGATTCTTATTTCTTATTTGGTAAAAGTTAAATTAAACTTGAAAATGAAATGTTAGAGAGATTATATATTAAATTTTATATTGTACATCGAAAAGACAAACCAGAAAATTTGAGATTTGCCAAGCGTAAATTAAAAAAAAGTTAAAACTTGTCCTTCTTAATTAAAAATATTGTATGTTTGGCACCTTTGAGGGTTGGAGCAAAAGCTAAAATTTTTTATTGACTAAAACTCCAGTGGGAACGCGAGGAAATTTTACAACAAATGTGCTAGTACATACTTACCTATACAGATTTAATCTTGTTTGTGTAGTCTTGATATATTTCACATTTTAGCTAAAAACATTCTGAAGGGTGTAACTAAAAATGTTAATATAGTTTTTTTTAAACCCCACTGGAATTTGTTAAAGAGGAAAAGCTTTAAAAACAAACGATTATCCAAAAGACACGCAAGAATTTTTATAAAAATTTAAAATAAACATGGTCGTCATTTTCTCCTTACTGTATCGTCTTTTGAAAATTAATCATTTTATTTTTAGTTTTCTGTCAAAGACAGGAAAAAAAACTGGCTTTCAAAAGAGTGCCTTAAAATTATATTTTTTTTTGTTCGTTACATTTCGCATACATTATGCTAGTTCTGTTTTTCCTTTAAAAGCTTCTGTCAAAGTATATGTGATGTAGACTGGAAACCGAAAGCATTATTATGTCAGAATAATGTTAAATGATATTGAAATAAAAATCCCTCCCGCCCGACCGAAGCCTCAGAGCCTTGAAGTGTTGTGAAATTTAATAAAAGCTTTCACTCGTTTCTTTTCTTTTTTTTTTTGCTAAAGGATTTCTTAAAAACCATTTTTGGTTCCTTAAAAAAACTATCATCTTTTGGGGGGGGGAATGAAAATAACAGTTCGGAAAGAAAATTAAGTTTTGGGTTTAAATTCTCATAAAAAGAAAACTTTTTTTTGGTGTATTTCTACGTAGTCTGAGAAAAGGCATATTGATTCTTCCTTTTTATTATTAAGTTTACAGGATATATGTTTTTCTTAACTTTTTCTCTAGGGTTACATTTGTGGTGTTTATTTACCAAGTTTATAGAGAATTGCCACTTTAAATTGTTCATAAAAAATAATGCAAGTTGCTTTTATCTCTCTTTTTCATAAAATATAATAT